GATGATACGAGCATTGTTTGCTCACCGGTAATACAAACAACTCCAATGATTATCTTCCCTCCTTTCTCCACATCTGATCTTTCTTTAAAGCTCTGTTTATGCATTTTATTTATTTATTTTTCATCTATTGTACGTTGCTGGCGGTCAGGATAAAAATTGGGTGCGTGCATCGACTCGAGCATTATAATTTGGTTGATTATGTTTTCTGTGGATAATATCCAGTTGTTGTTGTTGCCTGTTGTTTGCCACACCTGCACGGGGTAATGTAAAAACACACATTTTCATACTTGTGCCCTAAGGCAGGATGTGTGTGTGTATATGGCAAATAAGAGGAAAAAATATAGACAAGCATGGACATGGAGCTGCCAGTGAGTCTTTGTCTTTGATGGTAACGAGTGAGTAAATGTTATTGCTAATATATTGCATATGTTTCCTTTAAAATGTATGTAAATTTACCCGTATTTCACTTCCACATTGACCTATATGTGATCCTTCCCCTGTAGACCCATTATTGAAAACACACAGGTCATACACTGTGTGGTGGAGCAGATTCATGATTGTGCAGTGATTTAGTCGTAAACATAGACAGTAATGAACAGCAGGGATAATTCAAAGCTTCTCCTTTAGATGTTTTACAATAGGTAGAATTTTTTTAACATTATATTGACTTTTCAAACTATTCATGGTGCAAAGTACAAAGTGAACATAAAATAAATAAAAAGACAGAAAAATGCGGAAATAAAACGCCCTCCTCACCTTCCTTTTCCGTTTCAGCTTCACATGAGGAAAATATGGATACTTATATGTAATGACATATAATAGCTTTCCTTTCTACAGATTTTTTTCTTTCAAAGCTGTGCCTTAAAGCAGAAAGCGCAGCCTTTGTTGCAGCAGTCTTTTCTTTTTTAGCATTTGGAGGTTATTTTGCAGCATTTTGCAGATATAGGTAACATAAAAGAATTGTAAGATTAATTTACAATAATGAAATTAGACTCATAGAAGTAAAAGGGAAAACAAAATGATTATAAAAGTGAAAATGTGCTTTCCATTTTTGAGCAGTTTGTAATTCTGGGAAAGGATGAGCAAGTGTGCTTGTAAATATTATCTTGATAAAATGCATTTAGTTTGTTACTGTTTAAATGATGGGAATATTATAGCAGGGAGAGATGAAGTACTAGAAGTACCTGAAGCTGCTGAGTGGCACAGTTATCATTGTTTTGAGTGTATCGTCAGCTTTCCCGTAGACTGGGATTGTGACTTCATTGGAGTCAAAAACTACAGCACACATAATTCAAACTGCCTCTACCCCGTCCATAATTTTCCATAAAGCTCCTCATCATACAGCATTACTGTCTAATCAGGAGTCCGTGGTTCATTTGATCACCTTTGCGTTTTATTGAAACATCAAACTGTTATTTTCAAGTTTGAGAAGATCGATTCCCTGCCTCTTCCTCTTGTTTGTTTGTTTTTGCATTTCAGGGCGAATTCCCTGTGCGATGCACTTAATCAGCACAAAATGGCTCTCGGTGTGAATCGAGCCTCTTTCTCGGTGTCTTTGCGTGGTAAATGAGTTTTTATAGTCCTGCCTATGTTTGTGTTTGTTCGGGAGCGCTCTCCTGGTCTTGTGTCATTCTCCGCTGTTCGTACGGAGATGCTCATTTGGATAGCATATAGAGGACAATGCCATGGTGACACTCTGATAGTTATCCAAGTCCTTGATCTTCTCTACGCGTAAACATCATTACCACACACTGACAACATACACATGCACAACAGGCACGCACACACAAGCACACGAACACACACCCACAAGCTGCTCATCCAAATCGCTGCTAACAGATTAGCAGTGATTATAAACAAACATGGAGGATTAATCCTGTGTGCTCTCAGTCTACTTTTCCACTGAGCTAGCTAGGGTAATTACCAAGTGCTAGATTGTCAGTGTGTAATCACACACACATGCAAACACACACACATACAAGCTGCAATGCTTCTCTATTTGGTGATATCACTTTTGTGCTTGTTTTGTAAGAAAGTTGAGAGTGTCTTCATCGATATTTTAGGGCAGCTGTGCTCTGGTAAAGATGATGGGATGTTAAATCACTTTCCAATAACCTGACAGCATCTGAACAGGTCACTGATGTGTTGTAATGCACAAACTGGACACTTTTTTATAAAGGTACAACATATATATCCATATATCATTTACACAACACTTTCCACAGAGGCTCAAACAAGATTATCCTAGTTCAGAAACGCACACTGCTGTATCGTGCCCTAAACAGCCAAACACAACAGCCTTTTGTCTTGAGACACACTTTTGACACTGTCTCGCTGTCTTAGTCTGCCCGTGCTGACAGAACAGACAAAGCTGCTCCTTTTTGGAACAAAATGTGTTTTTATGCACACCTGACAAAGTGTGAACTTCACACTTCTTCCACCTTTCACTGCCAGCAGAGTGCAAAGATACACTCTGTATGTCTCTGCGTGACTTTGCCTTTTTCACTTTGCCCTACAACTTTACATTAAAGTCTTCACCCCAATGAAAACTTACCAGCAAGAAAAATAATTGTGATAAATTACCCCTGAGACACTGAGAGGATTGGCCATGTTGCGTACAATACTGTGTACTCCACGTAGGACATTTTTATTAATCAAAAAGCAAGACTTTACCAGTTTGTCACATCATTGTTGAGGACTTTCATCCCCTCTTCTTTGCAACATTACTTCAGTTCAGAGTGTTTGCTTATGCACAGCTCTCTTAAGGTCCCACTGCAGTTTTTCAGTCAGGTTGAGGTCTGAACTTTGAGTCAGCGCACCTACTTAATTCTTTCCTGTTTTAGTTATTCTGTTGTAGATTTGTTGCTGTGGTTGGGATCAATGATGGTTGTCAGACAGACTGCCTCATGTTTGACTCTCGAGTACTTTGGTAAACAGGGGAGTTCATGGTCGACTCAAAGTCTGCACGGTTCCCAGGCCCTGTGGCTGTGAATCAAACCCAAACCATCACCGTTGTTATGACTAGGGCTGGGCATCGTCACTGATTTCTAGAATCGATTCGATTCCGATTCACAAGGTCCCGAATTGATTCAATTCAATTCGATTAGATTTAAATCTAGGAAATTTTGCCTCAGACAGTCAGAAATATTATAATTCAGATCAGTACATTTACATATTTTTGTATCTATAAAAAGGAAGCTGACACTCACAAGACTTTATCAAAGGTGTGAGCATCACAGCAGATGCTTTTGTGTCAAAGTAGCTGCTGATAAAACACAGAAAAACATGAAGGTGATTTTCCTGGCCTGGGATTTTATAAAAATATTCTGCAGTACATCAAAAACGAAAGAAAACCATTAATCAACTTATGAACATTACCTCTGACATTACAGCGGTTTTATTAGAGACACGGCTAACAGCAGAAATTTGTCTTTCTTTTCGGAAGTAAGTAAAAGGGAAAAAAACAGCGGCCGACAGCCTGTAAACAACGGTAGTCTTGTGCGTAACAAGCAAGCGAATAATGCAGAAAACAGATTGTTAGACGGGAAACTGTTCTTGAAGTATACAGAGAGAGAGAGAGAGAGAGAGAGAGCTGTGCATGAAGTGTGGTGGAAGCAAAACAGCAAAAATCAGAAGGAATTCATGACATGCATGGACATTCTTACCCTGCACAAAAAGTCCATATGCAACATTATTTTCAGATTCATGAAATGTGCACACCAGCTTATGTGTTCTTTACACCG